AACCCTAAGTACAGTTAATTTGTTGTGCTGTAGAAACTAGCAATAAAATCAGAAGAAATAAAAATCTGACTTCCATTACTTTTACAGTTTACTCTATTGAAAACTATTATTAACAATCATAATAAATTTGTACCCGTGATTGAAGTTATAAAATTTATAATTACTGTCATCGATAATCCAATAATTACACAAAGTAGAAAAATACGAATACTAGCTGTATTCGACTTCTACTGTAATGTTAAAACACAAACACACATAAAAAAAGGTTACGTGTTCTTTAACAAATCCATCCGATGGAATGATGTTAGTGAAGTATCAATAGGTAAGGTGATTCGTGGGCACGATGATGTTATGTGACCCAAGTGTCTCACAAACCGAAACAACCGCAACGCCAACGATGGTGCGGTAACGGACGCTTTTTTGCGAACACCTCGTTTGAATCTGGACAATCGTACCCAAACAAGAAAGTGGTCCGACTAAATTTGGCTGCTTAGAAATTGGGTCACTATGGCTACACAACACAATACTGCTATTTAAGAATTAAAATATACCTATCCGAGATGAGATGAAGATATGCCCTGTCGGTGAATAAAGGTTGAATCATCGCAGTTTACTGTCCAGCAATTATAGCTATGGGTAGGCGAATTAAGGTGAAAAAATCTGTTTTACGTTTCGCTTCATTTGGCAGTGATAAAACATAGTGTAAGCGTTTTGCTTCAATTCGATGATTCCATGTTGTCTTTAATCCTGGTTTTATAAATATAAAAGTTAGTCCTTGATTTGGTTTTGGATATCTTTGATAATTTGAATTAACAATACATTATTTTTGATAATCTACATATTCTCTTTATATAAGTACTAGCAAACCAGTGAACCAAATGTTCACCAAAACCTGATTTAAAAAAAATATTTAATTCATTGAGAACTTCGGAGATTTTGTAGTCTTATCAGACTATTCTTAACTTATAACTTAAATATTCTCTTTATCTATCTCTTACGGTTTGGCCGCTGAAACAGCACCACAGACAGACAGACGGACGGACTTGTCTAATAGATAAGAGATTATATATTATTTGCATTTGATAAGTTCATACTGTTCGAATGTCAGAAACGAGTTTATTTGTCCCAATCTCTTCAAAGGTTGTTTTATAACTTTTTCGTTGACTGATATTAGGTATTAGACATGTAATTAAATTGGTTATATAAACTTTTTCGGTACTGATTTGGAAGATAAGGAAAATATATCGCCTGCGTGATGATTGCTTATTACCCCACGGAAATCGTTAGAGTCGTCTGAGGGAATTACTTGATGTTGCCCCTTGTGTGAGAGATCGGTGACCTTTATTTTTACTCATCTAGTGATACAAATCAAAATGTTGAACGGAGAAATCTTAATGTGACGTAATATTGTATATTTGGAGCTTACATTACTTAAGGACATGTACTTGTTTCTCTCACTTCCTTCTTTCTACTTTTTGAACCGTCCTCTACTCTTTCTCTCCTTATCCTACCCCCACTCTCCTGACCCCACCTCGAAGCGGTATCGAGAGCCATGGAAGTGGGATCCATGTCAAACATTTAAATAAATAACCTCAAGATACTCATGTGTAGCACATTTCATAAAATACAAACTTGTGAATAAGTTAATATAATCAAGAAAAAAAGTCAAGCTATACTTCTCGCGGTTTTCAAGCAGAAAAGATTGCTCGTGCAAATTCCTGCAGGCGCATAATTAACAGTATCTCACAACAGTGATCCTTATCTTGAGGGGTTAGAGGCCAATAGAATCTGCAAAACATTTTTTTTAAGAACACATCGCAGTAAAGTGTCTTATCCTCCCGTTTGTGACAACTAATTTTAGTTCAGGGACACATAGTTATATACAGATTTCGTTATATTTTACACTTACCTATTTACTACTTCACTGACACAGCAGCGGCTCAAAAAGCGTATTTGCCTCCGATATTAGAGAGTTCTCCACCTATTTAGTTTCAGTCTTTACTTTCCTACGATTATCTGATGAGGTTGCAAAAGATCTCAAAGAAAAAAAATAGTAAGAACTAAACCATTATTAATTAATATGCAGAACTTTAAGTATATTTAGGCACTCTAATTCATATAAGTTGATTATCCTAAACGGAACCCAGTATGAATTATGGGAGTGAATACGCGTCCCAGGGCGCTCCCCTGCCCGCCATTCCAAGTTTCCGGACTTTGAATAACTTATAGCTGGTAACGTGAACCTACCTTACTGTGAAATTTTAATTTCGGTCGATAAGTGACTTTAAAATAATCATGCAACCACCCTATGTTACGTGTATTAGTGGATACTTAATTGTCTAAGTATATATAAATTATGATGACGGTGACTTAAGGCACAATTACAGTGTGGGTCGTTAGCTCGTATACTGTAGGCCTATGGAATTCGGCCAAACGACAAGTGTAAATGAATGGAGTCGAGTACGCCCGTATTGGAACACCTTTCGTTTCGGTGACCCGATGCGGCGACGCCATTTTCCTTTCATGCAGTAGTATGAGATATTTTCCCTCCAATATTCCCCAAAAATGCTTTCCCCCCGATCTGGCATCACTTAGGTTCGTTTCAACCAGAACGCGGGCGCAAGCTCGTTTGCCCGCGTTCCAGTAACCGAACGTGAATAAAACAATGTAAATTACATTGGGTGTCCGAAATCAAAGTGTAATTGCAACATTAAAGCAAAATGTTTATTATACAAATGTTTAAAGTAAAAATAAAAGGAAACTAACTATCGGCCGGCTTGCTGAAAATAGTTTATGGATATTAAATACATACACTGTGAATTTTGAGTTACCAGAGAAACTTTACCAGCTAATTGAGACAACCATTTAGATAAAAGTGTTTTTTATTTTTCGAAATTATAAATTGTTTCAAATAGAACAACTATATTTAGGATCTGCGTACTACTTATTTTAAACGGATAATAATTCCATAATAGATATGTTATTTACAAATTTGTGCCATTGTACAGTATTTTTAAAGGATATAAATCAATCCTTTTGTATGAGGGTGTAGTACGTTTACTGTTTATAACTGTTCGCACTATGTTTATTTACACGATTTGTAAGTTTCTCAGGTAACTCAAAATTCACGGTATTTATATAATATTTATAAACTATTTTCAGCAAGCCGGCCGATAGTTAGTTTTATTACATATTTTGATAGATAGTTAAAATTCTGTAATATTCTGGAGGAAGCTACATGGTAACAATTCCTTTAATAACTATGGTTTAAAACATATATAGTTAAAAAAACACACCAAGATCCTTCATTTATTCTCATCAAAGTAATCTTAGTGGTTTCTGTCTTATTATTCAAATAAATAAATTTCACTAAAACTCTGTCTTGTTATAGTCTCTTAACCTAGTAGGTTAGTAAGTACTTCAATTATTTTGTAATATTATGTCAGTTATAAAAATGGTCTTTTTGACTTTCCTTTGTAATAATGTAACGCGACGCTTATTATTCGTATGATGGACGAGCAGCGTAGGCCAAGCGGACATCCTAATATAAGCGAAGACAACATTATAGCTAGGAATGTCATAGCAATTTGCAACTATGACCTAATACGCAAATGGCCGTAAACATAAAACACCTATACAGCAAACAAGTGCACGGTCTTTTTTCATAAAATTTATTCAGTAAATTAAAGTTGTTGACGACCTCCGCGGTCGAGTGGTTTGTACCTCGGGTTTCATGGTGTCGCCGACTCGAGAGGTCCCGGGTTCGAATCCCGGTGGGGGCAGATGTTTTGTGTGATGAATACGAGCATTTGTACTCCAGTCATGGATGTTTAATATGTATCTTTATATATATAATTCTTCTGTGAGTGTGTATGTCACTGAACTTCTCTTAAACGACTGGACCGATTTTGATGAAATTTTTTGTGTGTGTTCAAGGGGATCTGAGAATGGTTTAGATTCACAATTTTGTCCGCTGGACAATGTTTTTTTAATTAATTTTTTTTATGGCGGTACGAAGTTCGCTGGGTCAGCTAGTTTCTATATAAATATACTTATATATGTATCAGTATATGTATTCTATCCGTTACCCTAGTATCCCATAACACAAGCCTTACAGTGCTTACTTTGGAACTAGGCTAAATGGCGTGTTTAAAAAAGAAAAAAAAAAAGAAATATAAACTAAATAAAATGTATTCAGTCAGCCGTACACGATCATACAGAAAATAAGTCAAACAAGATCCTGCATTAATTTACTTTTCATTTTTGCATTCAACAACCATTTCATAATTTATCTAGTGGCTGGGACACTCCAAGGACGACTTTTGACCGAGACACTTGAGCAAACAAGTTGATGAAAAAAAAACGTTAAAATTTAAAAATAGCATGCAGGCTCAAAACGCGATTTTTACTTGCGCATTGTAATACTGTGTAGGTTAGCCGACAAGATTAATATGCCACGTTATTACAGCTCATTTGCAAATCACTATGAGGGTTTAGTCCCCCTACATGTAAATGTTGAGGCATAATGTTTGCGTTCTTAGATGAGCGGTCGTTCAGTTTATCGGCAGCGAGTGCGGGGAAAAAGCCTTATGTATTCTCGTCACGAGTTCACGACATACATGGAAATAAAAACGTCATGCATTGTAACTAGAGTCGCACGATACCTATTTTTATACGTGAAATGATTTAAAAACCGTTGATATCTCTTGGGTTATTTATGGCTTTGGTATTATCAAAAGTAGGATCAGCTGTTAACAGTACTTTTATTACACGTACAATGAAGGCTTTGCATTTGATAGGTACCTAATTAGGGATACTTAGTACTTATTGGTCGAATGTGAAAAATGAATTTATTAGTCACAATCCCTTCATAGGATTATTTCTAACCAATAACTTTTCCGTTAACTCACTATTAAAGTGAAAAATTTGAAACTTTTTGCGTTGCAAGAAATTTTGTGTACCTTACTAGAAATTAAAATATTTTTTGTTCTTGCTTACAGAGAGTACAAGTTGAAGGAAGCAAATCGATACTTGGATCATACTGTCGATCGAATCTGGACTGCAATGTGTCGCACGCGCACTGTAATAGAGGTGTCTGCGAATGCCAGCCTTATTATGCAAAAGTCGACAACTCAACATGTATAGAATGTAAGTAAATTAATTTTCAACTTCCTAACTTACTAACCCTACCCTTCGTTTATTGATAAGAATGACAGAGAGCTATGTATGGTAACAAACTTCTTACTTGGCAATGGTACGATATATGGTCTGCGCAGACAAGAGACTTCTATCCGCGGAGGACAAATGTCCCTTAATCATGAAAGAAATGTCCACCGAAGACTTGTCACTGACTCAACGCACATGGTGGTCAAACATTTGTTTTCCGAATAAAATAGCACACGCTTTGGAAGTAAATATCCTCAGATTACGTTGTGTTATAATTAACATTAAGTTTAAGACAAAGAGAAGACATTTTAAGGCGCGCAACGCAGACTAAAGTTCGCTGTGTGCGTTACTGTTTATTATACTACTTTTTTTCGGGGACACTTGCGTACTTTTGTCCTGTCCGGTCTCCCGATGTCCTTTGTTGTTCGGGGGATTAATAGTACGCGGTACTTTTATACCTTCGTGTGCGTTACTTTACTACTACATGCAGTTCTGAGCGATCTATTTTGGCGGACAAAAGTCCTTCGTCTGCGTAAACAAACCGAACCGGTATTAAACAACCTACCTATCTCATTTTAAAATTGTATACTAACAAACAGTAATTTCTGGACAGAGAAAGTACATTATTTACGAATAAAAGGCAAGAATTCAGTTTTATGAAAAATAGTAAAAGTAAACTTTTTAAAAACTTCGACAACAGCGAACTACGCGCACTTTCATTTTCATAGCCAACTAAAATCAGGACACAATTTAACATTACCGTTTCACTGAGTTTGCAAAGTCTAGGCTGTTACAAAAGCAAGAATTTCACATCCACAAAATCAAAATTAACACCATGTGTATATAATAATGTACCTTATATTAATTTAAGATGAGTTCGTACAACTCAAACCACATCAGACGAAGCAGGTGCTAGCGCAATTGAGATGACATTGTTTTTCACACTATCAATAGCCATCATACGTAATAGCAATGCTTCTATCGCGGTTTCATTGACCATTTCCATTCGAGCGAAAACATGCTCTTTGTGTGGTTACATTTTGTGGTCACCCTAACAAATTACTTTCACTGAAATAAAAGTCAAAGCCATAAAGCACCTGAAACTGAATGGAGTAAGACAAAATTAAATTACTAGTACTTTTCTTATTTTTTTATTTAAACATCAATCATAATATTATTAAATACTTTTCACAATAGTTGTTCGTCAGAAAGTGATGGTTCTGTTGTGCATAGTTACTTAAATAGGTATTGTTTATATATAGTTTATATCCAACATTAATTAACTTCAATAATTATACTGTACCTTTCTCTGTCGAAAAGTTTTGTATACAATGTGATGTATGTACGCAATTACGATGTGTATTTTTATTCAAAGGTTCTATTCAAACTTCAATATCGTTTATACAGTCTAGGCTCTTACGAGCATTTGTGAAAGCCAAAATGCTTAACCAATCAATTCGTCAATCCACGAAACAGCAGCATAAAACATAGGACAGGCTGTATTTCTCTGTTTTATCAAACGGTAGTGAACCACCCAGGTTTCGCACGGATCCAATAATTAAATTGATGAAAATTAGTGTTATTTGATAGTTCAATACCTAATCATCACCCTTTTTTCGAATTTTCTAATAACTTTTGGTCAGCTTCCAGCCACCAGCTGGAAGTTATTCGAATTTTTTTTTTCATTTAAGTCGGTTAAAAAGAACACATAGTCCTTCGCAGGTTACATATAGATTAAAAATTTTATATGTATAGACTAGCGGTCGCCCGCGACTTCGTTCGCGTTAACGTTACTTTTTTTTAAATCCCACAGGAACCTGACTTTTTTTCGGGGTAAAAAGACTCTTATGTCTCAAGCCTAGTATTGAGAAGAACCGGCAAGAAACTCAGCAAGGGCAAATTTTTCCCCCTGTATCATTATAGACAGAGTCGTCAAGTTGAAAAATGTCTTCAGAGATATTATTGAAGTCACCTTCCATTACATCATTTAGAATATAGTTACAATAAGGTTTATAGTGAGCTTTACATTTTTAGTAAGTAGGAAGCGGCTTTAGATACCACATTATTGTTATGAACAATGTCTAATTACATTACAATTTACAAGAAACACTATATCCATGTATTACGATCATTAAGACAGTCATCAACTTTTTAATAGCCTTTACTCATAAGAGTATATTTGATCTAAGATTTAAATTTGGTCAGAGGAAGCTCAATCACATCTTGGGGAACTTTAATAAACAGTACAATACTAAAACCCATAAATGAACCTCTTGATTCTTGGAGTCTGAAACATGGAACGGCAAACTTGTTCTTAAATCTCGTTTTAAAATTATGGGTTTGATTTTTTTTGCAAATACGTCATAGTTTTTTCTTACAATATATTATATTTTCATAAATGTATTGCGATGCCAGTGTTAAAATATTAATTTCTTTAAACTTTTCTCTTTCTCTTCTTTAAACTTAGGTGATTCTTTTGCTTTTGAGTTGTATATCGCTCGAACAGCTCTCATTTGCAGTATGAAAATACTTTCGTAATTAGCAGCTGAGCCCCACAACAAAAGGCCATATAACATAATGCTATGAAAGTAACCAAAGTAACCAATCTTGCCGTTTCCACATCAGCTAAGAGTCTTATTTTTTTAACAGCAAATGCCGCGGAGCTCAGTCTACTTGATTGGGCATCAATATGAGGATCCCATCGCAGATGCGAGTCTAAAGTAATACCCAGAAACTCTGTAGAATCCTCTAATTCTACAGGCTGGTCATTTATTTTGATACTAGTATTAACTAAATTGTCTTAGATTAGATTATTATAGATAGATTAAGAGTATATATATACATATATTTTCGTGATATCGTCAGTTGGCGGTGTTATTTATCTTAGTACGTCACAGGTTTAAATAACAATATCCATCTAAGAAATTTCAATCAGTACTCATTAAAAAACAATTTAGGAGAAAATAGTTCACCTGAACGTAACTGGGTTATTCAAATGGATATTTAGTGTAAGTTGGTGCTGCCGATTGAGCGCGACGAATGCAATAACAGATGCCCACTTTTTTACGGATAGCATTTCGCCAAAGAGTTACCGCATTCGGCGTGATCTGATTTGCGTTCCGAAATGCACGAGATAAGCTTCGATACGAAACGAATTGAATGCGACACGAGCGATACAATCGGCACTATCGCCATTCTTTTGTTTTTATCGCACCATAATCCCACGCTCGCCTCACTTTCCGTGTCCGATATAAGCAGTAGCTCCAAATTGAGAAGTGGATCATGGGTGGATTACAACGGTGCTTTAACCGATTGTGTGGCGAATTGCCTTTTCCGAAGAAGGACCGTTGATGGATTTTTATTGATAACTTTTTAATAATTTGATCACAAATTTCTTAGATTGTTTTTAAGCAACAGGTTTTCTGTTCCATTTTTATGATAGTTTACTTTCGTTTGTTATTAATAAACCAACATAATTATATTAACCAGGTTCTCTTCGTGGAATAATCCTCAATACAAAATAAAAATAACATTTTTAGAATAATAAAACTCATAGCTCCAAAATGCCAGAATTTAGTTAAAAAAAGGTATAGTTACCAATACAATATTCGTCAAAGAAAACCTAAGTATATAAAATACTCCTATGTAGGACGCTGAAGCCCAGTTGCTAGCTCCGGCAGACATAACGTGCCTTATTAGCGACTCTTTCTTTGCTAGCCTAAACCAATTTCTTGCTAAGATTACAAAATTTCTGATAATTATACCTATAGTATAGTGGAGTTAGGCCATTTACCCGGATAATCAAATGACATATGACTTAACTCCTACTGATGCAAAGTGATGGGGAATCTAGACGCGAAGATAGCTGTTATACTGTTTTGTGGTATAACCTGTCACACCGGCCATTCTCACCTTGCTGGCCCTCTAGGTGCTCCTTTACTAATATATAATAAATGTTTATTATATATATACAGTAAAATTTCGGGTTTTTATATAAGGGCGCATGCACACATGTAACCGAAAATCCATTTGTGAATAGTGTGAAAAACAAATGACACCAAAATTCTTAATTCAGGTTGGAAAGTTTACAACAGAAAATTATGGTAACGTAAGTGTGGACTTCTGAAGAAAAGTAGATGAAATTTAATAAAGGAAATTTACTCCTCAGAACACTCATCGTATAGACGTTAGAGAATGCGCCCCAGCCCCCTTATTAATAAACAAGGAATAAGCTTAGACTAGTTACGCGGTGTTTTGTTCATTTCACTCAAATGCCATTTGTCATTCAATAGACAATGACAAAAGATGGAGTAACTAATCCAAGTGTAGTCTTTGTTTACTAATAAGGAGGCAGTTAAAATCTAACTCGAAGATACTTTTTCCGTCAGCTGATTTTGCAAATACAAAACACAGTTATAATTGTACCTGTATTACGAAACTGGTAACACGAATAGGTGCGTATTGTAGGAAATACTCACGGATGCGGCTAGCACACTTAAACCCGCGGTTCCAGTCTGGCGGCATTACAGGACCCGAACCCCGGAACCGCTATCCGTCCAGTGAAACAAGATCTCATAATAATACGTTTAATTAATGTGATATAAATAAAGACTTAATCTGTTTGAAAATCAAAACGAGCTTTAATATCTCATATTTTCATTATAGTAATATATGTTATTAACGGGACTGTTACCATGTACCTTGTTTTTAGCGAGTTTAGTTTCCGATATTTCGGCACTGTTGAGAGCGCCATGATGACCGAGTAACTGAAGTAATTAGGTAGGCTGTTATTGCGTTCGATATCCGTAAAAACAAGGTACATGGTAACAGTCCCGTTAATAACATATATTACTATAATGTTAGTGACCATGAAAGTTTAAAACATCATATTTTCATGTTTTGGTTCGCTAAATAGTTTATAAAAGCTCATTTAGATAATTAATAGTTAGTAAAGGCTGATAAATAAAGCAAGTGGTAAAAAA